AACTCTGGGCCTAGCGCTTGTGAGGCAGGCGGGGAACCGCTGAGCTAAATCCCCAGCCCGGTTTATGATTCTTATTACGAGTTGCTTAGGTGCCTTATACAGCCGTTCCTTAAGAACTTCATTGGCTTCCTTTAAGAAATTACAGCAATTCTCTTTTTATAATAAAGGTATTATATCCTCATTAAAGCATATTTTGAAAATATAAAAAGTACCCAAGGGGGGGATCGCTTGTAATATCGTAAAACAAAACATAGTAGTCTCATAAATACTTAATGTATCTTTCCAATATTTCTGTGTGTATGTATATAAATTCTTTAAAAAACAGAACTTGGAACATTCTGAAACTGTTTCAGATCTGAAACATCTCTTTTTAGGTATACAGGAGAATTTTTTCTTTTTTGAGACAAGGCTTATGTAGCCCAGGCTGGACTCAAACTCGTAGTGATCCTCCTGGCTCAGCCTCCCGAGTGCTGGGATCACAGGTGTGCAGCACCACCCCTGATAGAAAATATTTTATTGTGCTTATTGTGGGGTGGTTTCCACCCTGCTGTCCAAATTGTTTGACTTTGTCTATGTCATTTGGAGCCTGGATGGCAGACAAGTCATTTCCTTGAACTAGTCATTTCTTTGGTCCCTTTTTGGGGACCACAAGCCCTGATTCCCCCTCCACAGACTGCAGTCAGACAGGTTCACTGGAAGATGGTGAGAGAAGAGGGTGGAGGGAAGGGGCAAAAAAGAACTGAATGTGTTACATACACGAGCTGATACCCCACAGTGATTGTAATCATTATGTACTGCAAATGTGATAAAAACTATGCAAAAATAAATTTAAAAAAGAAAATGGTTAGAGATTAGGTTTTGTGACAGTTGAACATTTATTTATTTACTTATTTATTGGTGGTACTATTGCAGATAGCTAAGTTAGTTAGAAATTATTATAGGGCAGTTAGACAGGGCCAGCCCTCGAGTCAGCATGGAGGACAATCAAGACACTTTCACTGAAGGCCAGCATTGTAAAAGAAGAGAAACTACTATACCTGCTTGCTTCCCCTAGGGGTGAAAAGCAGTGATTGATATTCTACTAGTCTTTTTAAAAAATTCTTTTTTGGTACCTGGGATCGAACTCGGGTCCTTGCGTTTGCACAGCAGGCAGCGAAACCACTGAGCTAAATCCCCTGCCCAATTGATATTCTAAATAGCTATCAATCCCCTGGGTGGGGGACTGAGATCTCAACCCATCCCTTCCTGGAAAGATGTTAACCAATCCCATACTGAAAATCCTTGTTCCTTCCTTGTATGCTTGCTACAGGACTTGCTTCCCCATTGGATCCCCATTTAATCAAAATTACCTAGGTCAGCTGGGGATTTAGCTCAGTGGTTCTGCCGCCTGCCTCGGAAGCGCAAGGTCCCAAGTTCCATCCCCGGTACCAAAAAAACCCCCCCAAAAACCAAAAAACCAAAAAACCAAAAATTACCTAGGTGACTATACTTGTTGTAATCTTATTGGTTGGTCACAATTTGTCCCACCTCATGTCCACCTTGTGACTTCCCATTTTACCAATACTACCTAAGCGACTGTACCTGCAGTCTTACTAGTTGACTATAGTTTTGTCCCACTTTGTACCCGCCTCACCTCAGGGCTTTGCTCCATAAAGACCTCCTGGGAAACAGGGTCCTTGGGCAACTGGTCCCCTTTCTGTCTCTCTATAAATCTTTCCTACTCTTAGCCTCTGTTGTTCTTAGAATTCATTCTTTGATTTTAGAGAACATGAGTTCACGTTTCGGATATCTAGCAGGTTTGGGAGTTACAGCTATTCCCCCATATCAGTACTGGGGACTGAGCCCAGGGCCTTGTGTGTGCTAGGCAAATGTAGCACCGAGATACACCCCTAGCCTGATGATTCAGTTTTATAAGCCATGTCAAGCAAATGTTTATGTATTTAAAACGTAATTTATGGGGGGTAGAGGGGTAGCTTAGTGGTCGACTGCTTGCCTAGCATTCGAAAGGCCCTGGGTTCAATTCCCAGCACCCCCTAATTTTCATAATGCTGTATCTTCCATTTAGTAAATGATAGGTCTCCCACCACCTCAGCAGCTATTATGTATAGTAGCTGCCTTCTTCCTATCATGCCTTGCCCCCTCCCCTGTGTGACATCATGCCAAGATGGTTGCTCCCACCAAAGAATAAACCCTTCTTCCCAGTATGCCCCTGTTCCCGCCTAGATAGTAACCTACTACTCGCTCACCTCCTACCACCTAGTGACATCACCAGCTCCTCCATTCCCTAGTCACTACCTCACTCAACCCCGCCTCAGCCCCTACAAACCCCACCCCAGTCTCTAGAAAAGACTCTCCCTGCCCCGGCCATATTGCTTTTGTCTCTCTTTTGGTCAGAGACAGCCCGGCAGATCTATTCCCCTAATAAAGGCTTGTTGTGGCCTGGTCTGGTCTTGGTCTTCGGCCCTTTGACCCGACAGTAAGTATCTACAGTGGAAGCCTGATGGCTGTCAGTGAAAGAAAAAAACTTACCCTAAAATGAAACATTCTTACACTAGTGAGCCATTCCGGTACTTAAATAAAAATCTCATGTCCCCTGGATGTGTACATTGTTCTGTTTGAAGGGAGGAGGGGAAAACTGATTAGGACCACTCTACACGGGATTTGGTAAAGAAGGAATTTATTGGCTGGGAGGCCTGGAAATCCTGGGGGTCAGGCTTGCTGGACCCGGAAGTGTACTATCCACAGGACCCGAGCTCTGCCAGTATTAAGGCCGGGTCTTCTTTGGGGGAAAGTCTTTATTTCAACAGTACCGGAACCTCACCTATCTCTCTGGCTCCTCCCTGTTGCTAGGGCAGTGCAGCGCTCTGGCCACTGGTGCCAAAGCTGCGGGTTGAGAGATCATTTCCCCCAAAGAAAAACCGCGTTTGGGACTGACAGTTCCCACAAACTCCCTTCTCCCACTCCGGGGACTCAAGGGTCCTCCTCAGGGACTCACTGGCCCTGCGTTAAGCTCAAGCTGGCTTCTTCGAACGGTGCAGGGGAAGCCAAGCTCGGGAATCGGGGCCCAAAGCCACCCTCTCTGGGGGTGGGGCTGTTCCCCTCTCGGCTCTGCTTCCCCTCCCGGCTCTGCTTCCCCTCCAGCTTCCTTCCCACCTACCCTGAGGCGCTTAGTTCAAATTTGCGAGAGGATGTCATTGGCCCTCCTGGGTCAGGTGCTCGCTCCCCTGCCCAATCAGCTTCGGCAGACTGCAGGTGGTGCTGAGGGGCGTGGTGGTGAACCTGTTATGAAAGGCTGCCTCGCCGCCTTTCTCCCTCAGGGCTGTGACTGGGAGGGCCTGATGGGTTGTTCTGTAGATTCCAGTCTTGGGCTAGCAGTCCCTTCCTGATCCCAGCTGATTTCCTTCACTGTCTATAGAGTGTTCGCTCTTTACCCGTCCCATTTTAAACTTTCACAAACATTCTGGAGTGGAATCTCTGAGAGGCCAGACTTCTTGCCCAGGGTGATATAGTCAGCAAGGGGCTCGGAGGGCAATGAATGCGGAAGCAGCATCCCGGGCAGCTGGATTGGGCATCCAGAGTGGAGGCCGGCACCACTCTCCGGGCTGAGGGTCCTGGAGGGGGCTTGGGAGGTGTTGAAAGCATGGGAGGACCTTGGACATTTATTCCCAGCCTCACCACTGGCCCATGCTGGCCTAGGGACAAATGTAAGCTTCCCCGTGTTCTGACTTCTTGTCCGGCCCTGGCTCCGAGGCCGTCCTCCCAAATACCGCCTCACTGTCCTGCTGCAGACTCCGCGTCTCTCCCTTCTGGCCAGTCTCTGGGTGGCCTGGCCCCTCAGGTTGGGAGATCGCGGCCAGAGGTGGAGCAACACCTGAGCCTGGGAGGCACCCCATCTCCCCTCTGCTCCCCAGGCCCCGTGCGGTGTGCGCTGAGGACTGAACCCAGGGCCTCGCACTTGCGATGCAAGAACTCCACCACTAGTCACACGCCCATGCCCTCCTGGCCCCCAGCATCTCCCCCTCTCCCGTAGTGGACGCTGAACTCAGGGGCTGCACTGGTTCTATCCCCACCCCTTTGTATCTCTTGAGACACGGTCTCACTCAGACGACCAGGTTGGACTTGAACTTGGGATCCTCCTGCTTGGGTCCCCCAGATCGCTGGGGGTAATAGGTGCGCCGCTCCCCCCTGGACGTCAAAGGGCATTTCTCCGTGTTTCAGATCTGGGCACGATCCCCTGCCCACAGGGCCTAACATCCCCCTTAGCAACGCCCCGCCCCGCCCCGCCCCGCCCCTGTGCTCAGCACCCGGCCCCACCGCGCATAACCCAGCGACCGCTTTCCACGATAATCGGCCTCTCCAAACTGCAACCTGCTCCTACTGCCTGCGGCCACAGCCTGGACCCCCACAGCTCCAGCCCTGGCGGACCCTGTGAGCTGGCGCCTCCCCTCAGGGCCCGGAACAACTCCAGCCTTGAGCCCGTTCCTCGGCTTCTCCCGCACCCACGAGTCCATTCATTCTGGAAGCTTCGGGAGGAGGTCACGGGTCGGGAGACGGGCCTGAAGCACCTCCGGGAACCCGGCAGGGCCCTCCCTCGGGGCTCGGGTACCGTGCGTGCAGTGCGCGATCTCCGCTCGCCGCTGAGGGTCCCATGCCCTGCGCCAGGCCCGCGCACCCTCCGGGGAGGCCCAGGAAGCCCGCGCTTCCGCTTTCCGTGAGCGCTCGCTCCCGAGGATTCCGCAGCGACCCACGTGCCCCTGCGCACGCCCGCACCGCCCCCCGGCCGCCGTGCCCCGCCGCACGCAGGCCCCACGGGCGCCCGCACACGCGCCGGCTCGCGCTCCCGGAGGGCACGGCGGGG